CTCAGCCATCTTGTGAGTTTTCCCTTTTAAAAATGTGTGCTTGGAGTGTGTGTGAGTGAGCATGCTCCTGTGAATTCCCAGCCTTTAGGCTCGAGTCTGGGGAGAAGATTCTGGCCTGAGAAGCACCAGCTGCTCCTGCAGAGGACCCAGGTTCGATTCCAGCATCCACATGACGGCTCCCAACCGTCTGTAACTCCAGTTCCAGGGATTCAGTGCCCTCCATGGGGCCAGGCATGCCATGGTGCTCATACACACATGCAGGCAAAACTCATGCTTATATAAATAAAATAAATCTAAAAGCCAAAAGCCTGGCCAATGTTGCAGCTTACCCCTTTAGCAAACTTAGTTCAGAAGTGATTTCTTCTGTATTCAACTCCAGCATTCTGGAGTATACAATGTTATCATTTCTGGAATATACAATGTTACCATTTCTGGATTCATCGTCTGTTGTTTTCCTGTTGTTTTCCTGTGTGTTAGAGGAGGATTCAGCTCCTTCGCTGTCTCCACCCGCTTCCCCTTCATCCTCTGAAAATAAACTGTCCCTTGTCACAGCAACAAAGGGCTGACTACAAGACCCCGGCTTTGCTGCAGTTTTGTCAGGATTTCTCAGAGTGGTCAGTAGGTGAAATTTTCTTCCGGTCAGGGTTCCACCATGAGCTGGGCTGCTCATTGTTTGTTCTATGTTGGGATAACTGGAAGCAAGACCTGAGATGGTTTGTAACTTATTGCAGTCGGATAAAAATTGGAAGGAAGTGAGGAGCCAAGCAAGGGGGCGGGGGGGGGGGGGGGCGGAGCTGTGCGGATGGACCCCTAGGGAGCGGAGTGTCAGGCTGCCCTGCATGACCACAAGGACGTGGAACCTTTGTGTCTACCTGCAAGGTGAACACTGACCACAAATTCTGCACGTGTCTGTGCTTGTGGACAAGCACAGCTGCCCAGTAATGCAGTTCTGGGGGAAAGAAGATGCTGTGGGCCATGAGGGGCCAGGACAGGCTTGAGCGGTGCCCTTGGCACGCTGTCCTGCAGGCCTCTCCCTAGCCCCCTGCCTGGGCCTCTTTACCGAGGTCTTTGCTGTTGTCTTCCTAGTTTCTTGGTACCATTCCTTCACATTGCTGGAGATGACCCTCTGGTAGGCTTTTCAGAATATTTTGGGAAAGAAATGTCTGGTTCCTTTCGTTCCAGATTTTGCCAAACTTAAAGAAACTGCATAAGAAGTCTGGAGTCCGCATCACCCCTAGTTGACAACTAGTGACGAGAGAAGCCAGTTAACGCAACATGCATGTGTTCTCATGAGCTCGGGGCTACAGGTTCAAACTAGGCTGTCTCGTGCCTAAAGTGGGTTGTCATGGAGCACTTGGGGAGACCCATTCTCCTGCCTTTTCTAGTTTCTAGAAGAAAGGCTGCCTTTATTCCTCGGCTTGTGGTCTCTTCCTCCATTTTCTAAAACATGTCATTGTGTGTGTGTGTTTATGAGTGTTTACTGCATGTATATATGTGCCCCGTTGTGTACTTGGTGTCCATATTAGCTAAGAAGGCACTGGTCCCCTGGAGCTGAAGTTCCAGGTAGTTAAGAGTTTCCATGTGGGTGCTGTGAACCAAACCTGCGGGCTGTGCAGGCACATCCAGCGCTCTAAGCAGGGAGCCCGTCTCAATCTCCTCTCCCTGTCTGTAGAGTCGGGTGCTCATTATCCGCCAGGTTCACCACTAACAAGGCAGAGGAACATAGAAAAACACACATGAACTCAGCTTACGCATTCAAACACGTGAACATACCCTAAGCAGTCACAAATGTGTATGTAAACGCACTGTCTCAGTTAGACTTTCCATTGTAGTGATAAGAAGACACCTTGACCAAAAGCAAGCTGTGGAGGGAAGGGTTTTTCACACTTCCACATCGCAGGCCGTTACTGAAGGAAATCAGGACAGGATGTCACACAGGGCAGGAGCCTGGAGGAGCAGGCGCAGAGGCCAGGGAGGGTGCTGCTTACTGGCTTGCTCAGCCTGCTTTCTTATAGAACCCAGGATCAGCAGCCCAGGGATGGCACCTCCCAAGGTGCCCTGTGTCTCCCCAGTAATCACTAATTAAGGAAATGCCCCAAGCCAACCTGGTAGAGGCATTTCCTAAACTAGGAATCCTCCTCCCTAATGACTCGAGTTTGTGTCAAGTTGGCAAAACACTAACCAAAAATACATACAAACATAAGCCTAGACATACAATAAACACATAAAATAAACACATAAATGCGCATTTACAGACAGTGACAAGCACATAAGTGCAAGTGTAGAAACACAAACATGAGCATGTAAACACACAGGTGCCATACATACATGTGTAATCACACAGCACACACGTGGGCCTCAGTCCCTGCTGAGGCTCCCGCCTCCCTCCCATGTGGACCCTGGACAGGACACTGAGCCACCTGATCACCCAGAAAATCTGACTTCTCAAGATCATTTATTTAGTGTTACTTTTTGAATTTGTATTAAAGTTTAAATTTACAGTGCGTACTGGTAGGAGGTGAAGGCGTCAGGGTCAGTTCCAAGGGGCTACTCCACGGAAACAGTGAAGCATGTAGATGCGTAGACACGGAATCACATGACACATAGACACAGCTGTGTGCAGACAGACACAGCTACATGCAGACTCAGACACAGAGCCGTACGCAGACACAGAGCCACATGAGACACAGAGAAACATGCAGACACAGAGCCACACGAGACATACAGAAGAACCGTACATAGACACACACAGAGCCACATGAGACACAGAGACAGAACCATATGCATGCAGACACAGGGACACACACAGACACAGGGACACATGCAGACACAGAGCCGCACTGCCTGATGAGGACCCTAAAACCATGAGTCTGATCCCCCAGTCTCCACACAGAAGAGACAACTAATTCCTTCCAGGTTTCCCCTGATCTCCACAGGAGTGCCCTAAAGAAAGTGAAGGAAAAAGAAAAGCCCTATGTGGCCAGGAGTAATCCAGATAACCAGGGCACTGAGGTTTTCAGAATGATACCTGCTGTGATCTCATCACATGCATCCTTTCTGGTGGCATGCGTTCCCTCTCCAGGCCCCAGGGGCACTGCATACCACAAATAGTAGAGCTACAGAGACAGCTCAGCTGTGAGACCGCTTGCTGTATGACCATTAGGGCTTGCATTCAATCGCCCAACGCTCAGGTAAAAATCTGAGCGTGGCCACCTGCACACCTATAACCCTGGCACCGTGGAGTGGAGCAGGAGGTCTCTGGGAATCACTTGGCCACCCAGCCTCAGGTGCTGGGAACGAGTGGCCTCAGAACACCGGCCTTCCTGCTCTGCCCTCCATGTGTGTGACTGTGTTGATCTCGGGTGTTTTGTTTGTAGAGGGATGGGATGCAGGGGAAGTGCCCAGCATGGCGTCCTATGCAGTGAAAACACCTTTGAGTGTGTCAGGTGCTTCCACTGCCCCGAGGGGCTCGAAAGTTTCCACTTTTTGGACATCTCTATCAAGTGTGGACGCCTGCTTCTCCATTGCCTTCCAGTGCAAGTCATGTATCCATTTTTAAAGTGTCATTGCCACGCATGTCTGCAGGGGGTGAGGTGGCAGGTCACCACCTTTCATTACATCTTCCCATGGACACACTGCTGCTTGGATTTCACTTCTTACATTTCGGCTGTTTGTGCCTCTCTTTTCTTTTTCGTTCTTCTTCTCTCATACAAACAATCATCTTGGCCGCAGCCCCCCAACCCCCACGCCCCGCTCTGCGTCTCATTAGGCTGTGTTTGCTTGACACCGCTGGGAGGCTTGCTCTTCTCTGGAGGGAAATGGGGGGAAATTACTTGGATTTAATTTCTCTTCAAATTTTTTGCATCTCAAGTGTTCTCAGGTAATGAGTCCTTACCAGATGCCATGGTTGGTTGGCAATTGCCTTCTCCTGGTCATCTGCTCTCTTTTGTTCTTCCTGTCATGGTCTTTTGAAGTGGGAAGGAAGTCTGGTTTTGATGAGGTTCCGTTTGCTGATGTCCCCCATGCTCTGCTAGGACAAAGTGTCCCTGTCTTCCTCTATGTGCCCTCTGCTCTTAGCTCCTCACTTAGAGTTGATTGTCCTGTTAGGTCAGAAGTCTGCTTTTGTACATGAATATCCTTTCCCTGGTGCAGGAAGCTACTCGGGATGCATGCTGAAAGCATGTGATCATAAGTGTAAAATATTGTCTGTGAAACTGTTTGTATATTCTCTCACACATGCACACATGCACACTCATGTGCACATATGCACACTCATGCACACATTCATGCCCAGTGCACACATGTGTACACTCATGTATTTGTACACATGTGCACATGTGCAAGCATACACACGTGGGGTGGGGTGGATGAATCTGAGTCTGATTTGCTGCTGTGAAGCCGGGGGTTGTCCCCATGCTCTGGGGGAAGGGAGAGGGACATGTGTGGCTCCTGAAGGTGCCACAGGGCCTCATGCACCCTGTCCTGTGCAGGGCACCTTGCTGTACACTCTTCAGGAGGTGAAGCCCACCGTTTTCCTGGGGGTGCCTACTGTCTGGGAAAAGATGCAGGAGACCATCAAGGAAAATGTATCGAGGTCCTCGAGTCTGAGGAAGAAGGCGTTTGCATGGGCAAAGATACTTGGCTTAAAGGTCAACACCAAGCGGATGCTGGGGTAGGCGCGGTGTCCTGGAGTGGGGGAGAGGGGTCACGGAGGAGCTCTGTCACCTGAAACTGACTGTCTTTGATGATGCCATTCCCAGGAAGAGAGACATCTCCATGAACTACCGCATGGCCAAGGCCCTCGTGTTCACGAAGGTCAGGACGACCCTGGGTCTGGACAACTGCCACTCCTTCTTCAGTGGGGCTGCACCCCTTTCCCAGGAAGTCTTAGAGTTCTTCCTCAGTCTGGACATCCCTATCGGTGAGATCTACGGGATGAGCGAGAGCTCTGGACCGCACACAGCCTCCAGCAAGAGCAAATACAGAGTTCTGAGGTACCAAGGCTGCTGCAGCCCCAAGTCCCCCGTGTCATGGGATGAGACCTCTGGCGGAGACACATCCTGACCTGGATATCCTGGCAGTCCCATTCTCCAGCCCTCCCAGCCCAGGTCCTCTGGCTTATCCCACAACCTCCCAGGAGGGGCTCTTGCTGGAGAGCCACCTATCATGTTGTGTGACTTTTCCTGGGGGAGACCTGAACGACTGTGTGTTTAGCCCAGATAGAGCGCCAAAAATACCAGAGAACACTTCCTCCCAAGTACAGCATACCACGCTCCTGGGGTGGTGGCTTTCTGCTTTTGCTCGAGGTTTGCTAGCATATGGGATGCAAGCGAAGGACCAGAATAACAATAATGATAAAAATGAAGGAGGAGGAATGGCCAGAACCTGATGGTGTCCCTGAACTGTAGACACCCTCGGGTCCACTCACCTGCATATGGCTTTCTCCACCATGGCCACACACGCCATTTGACCAGGACACTAGTCGTGCTGTGGGCTGGCTGAGGCGGATGCTCCCATGTCCACCCCCAGCACTAGGAGGGCAGGCATACGGCCGCTTACAGAGCACACAGTGCATGTCTGTAAGCCAGTGAACGCAGAGTGCTGCCTCATGAGGTCGAAAGCAGCTCTCCATACATTCCTTCTCTGAGGATATTCAAGCTTGTGGTGCTTTATGCCGCCATCCTGGCCACCACAGGGCTGTTGCCCCCAGTGTTCTCATAGGGAGGTGACTTATCGCCATCCTGAGGTCTTCAGGGATTTTTTTTCTCCACATAAGTGGATGTAGAGCCGGGTAGTGGTGGTGCACACCTTTAATCCCAGCACACTCGGGAGGCAGAGGCAGGTGGATCTCTGTGAGTTCAAGGCTAGCCTGGTCTACAGGAGCTAGTTCCGGGACAGGCTCCAAAGCTACAGAGAAACCCTGTCTTGAAAAACACCAAAAAATAATAATAATAAGTGGATGTAGAAACAACTTCCAGTCCTGCGGGGCTACCAGATGCACAGAATATGGAGAACCTGACCACTGGGTCTTGAAGGGACATGAGTTTAGCTGGGACAGTGGAGAAACCTCAGGACTCTGGGCTGCTGGTGTGGGAGGACCCAGGGTCGGCAGCACTGTGTCCTTAATGCTCTCCTCCCGGCAGCTGCGGCAAGGTCTTTAATGGCTGCAGGAACATGCTGTATGAGCAGAATAGAGACGGCATGGGCGAGGTGTGCATCTGGGGCCGGCACGTCTTCATGGGCTACTTGGACAGGGAGGATGCCACGTTGGAAGTGCTGGATGATGATGGCTGGCTGCACTCTGGGGATATGGGCCGCATGGACAGCCAAGATTTCCTCTATATCACTGGCCGAATCAAAGGTATGACGCATCTTTGGAGCAAAGAGAGCGAGGTGTGCTAGGGGAACTGACAGGGAATTTTGGGTGCCCAGGCTACCAGGAGTACAGGCAGTATGGGCGATGTTGGGGTGCCTGGTACTAGGGACACCCCAGGTCATGGGGACCTGTCATACTGGGGGCAGGTTGCTCTAGACCTGAGACCTGTGTCCCGGAGTGAGACTGCAGCCCAAGGCCAGGAGTTCCTAGCAAAGGTTCAGAGAGAGTGGGGGCAACCCTATCAGCACAGCACTGGGAAGGCTGGGGCTGGAGAGCCGCAGCCTGGAGCTATCCTGGGCTGCACAGTGAGGGTCAAAGTGCTCTGTCACCACAGTGGACACCACGACCAGAAGCAGCTCGGGGAGGAAAGGGTTTATTCGGTTCACAGCTCGGGCCACAAGCCATCATCCAGGGAGTCAATGCAGAAGCTGATGCAGAGGCCGTAGAAGGGTGCTGCTTACTGGCTTGCTTCTCATGGCTTGCTCACTCAGCCTGCTTTCTATAGAACCCAGGACCAGCAGGCCAGGAGTGGTCCCGCCCACATCAATCTCTAATTGAGAAAATGCCCCATAGGTCAATCTTGTGGCGACATTTTCTAGCTAAGGTCCATCTTCCCAGGAGACCCCTGGCTTGTCAAGCTGACAAAAGCTAACAGGACAGATTCTGTCCACGTGGGGTCCTAAGGACATAAATGTTGGGAGGGAAGCAGGAGTGGGTGGGGACTTGGGGTGCCTGAAAGGAAACCACATCAACCTTTGCACTGGTCCCAGGTTGGTGGGGGAAGGACGCTGTACCAAGCTGGGCTCTCGTTCCAGAAATGCTGATCACGGCTGCTGGTGAAAACGTGGCCCCCGTTCCCATCGAGACCCTAGTGAAGGAGAAGATTCCCATCGTCAGCAACGCGGTGCTGGTGGGCGACAAGGCCAAGTTCCTGAGCATGCTGCTGACGCTGAAGGTAGCCCAGGGCAGTCCCAGCCCCCGGGGGCGGGGCTGCAGGTGGCCAGAGCTCAGGCTCTGCTTGTGGGTCTGGGTTGGGGTCAGGGATGACCAGGGAATGTGCATGGTGACAACTTTGTCCTGGGGCAGTGTGAGACAGACCAAATGAGTGGGGAGCCCCTGGACAAGCTGAACCTGGAGGCCCTTAACTTCTGCCGGACACTGGGCAGCATGGCAGATACTGTGTCGGATGTAGTAAAGTTACGAGACCCGCTGATCTACACAGCCATCCAGCGTGGCATAGACAACGTGAATCAGGAAGTGATCTCTGACGCGCAGAGAATTCGGAAGTGGACCATCTTGGAGAAAGACTTTTCCATCCAAGGTGGAGAGCTGGGTGAGTAGCCTGGCCTGGGCCTTCAGAGGGCAGCTCTGGGCTGTACCCTTCCCTGGTGGTTAGGTCTGTGGGACCAGCTAGAACATGGGACATTTACCAGCTGTGTCCAGCTCCCGTCTGGCCTCCCCATGTTGCTTCTTCCCTAGGACAGACACATTTATGCTCTGGAGCTAACGTCAGAAATCCTCACCCTGGGCTGGAGAAGTGGCTCAGTGGTGTGCGCTCATGCGTGCGTGTGTGCACACACACTCCAGCCAGAATTCAGATACCAAAGTCTGTAACTCCAGCTGCCAAGGGATTGGATAGCCTCTCCTGGCCTCTTTGCACAATGCATTCAAATGTACACACACATATACCCCCCCCACATATAGACACATAGTTAAAAATAAAATAAATCTTAAAGACAAAAAAAACCTTTCTTCTAGGCAGAACCGTCATTACCACCAGTCCATTGGACATCTCACCCTCTCACTGAGAGCAGGAAAGGCCCCAGTCCAGCCGTGGGACCCTGTCCTTAGGTGCCCACAAGAAGTGTGGAACTTTGCCTTCCACAGCTTGACTAACCTCTTCTCCACAGGGCCAACAGCGAAACTCCGGAGACGTGTCATAACCCAGAAATACAGAGCCCAGATCGATAACATGTACTTGTGACTGCTGGAGCGGAAGCGTCCGGCCGTCCTCATGGTGAGACCGCCGGCCTGGCTTAGCGGGACTGGGTGACAAGGGCCGGTAGCAGAGCATCCTGCCCCTTCTGTCTTCCCAGTCAGGGGACAGTCACGGTATCACCTGGCTCGTTGGCCACCAGCCTTGATGGCCCACCACCTTCCAGGCCCCCCTCCGAGTGAGCCCTGCTGGACCTGCTGGATCTGCAGGCTTTTGCTCAGAGAAGGTCTGGGTTCTAGAAATCCCGACTCACCACACCTTCTATCTGCACCCCCAGGACGTGTCTGCGGGGAGCATGGGGGAGGGGCGCAGAGCGCATGCATAGCACCTATAACCACTCTAAGTCAGCTGACGCCTTGTCGTGAGACTGAGGAGTGGGCCGCCCAGGAAGGGACACCACAGCTGAGCCCCGGTTCAGCTCCATACACGGACAGAGCTGTGTGTGTGTGCTTTGAGATGGGGTCTCCCGCTGGCCTGAGATTTGCCAAGCAGGCTAAGTGGGCTAGAGAGCCAATGTGCTGGGGTATGAGTGTGCATCGCTGGTAGCTGGCTCCTAGCTCCTCTCCCCCGCCCCTCCCTCTCAAGTTTGCTGAGTCTTTACCCACTGAGCCACCTCATCTCCTCAGCCCTTTCCCCTTTTTAAGGGCACTCGTCAGATTGGATTAGGACTCACCCACTGCTCTTCATTTCCAAATAAGGTCAGTGTGAGACGGGGGCTCGGGTAGCACACTGGCCCACAGCACTCAGTCCTTGGGTTCGCTGCCAGGCAGAGCAGGGCGCAGGGTGCAGCTCCAGCTCTCCACACAGCTCAGATAGAGCAGAGAGCTGCTCAGAGAACAGAGCGCAGGCGCAGCCGCAGCCGGTCAGGGCCTGTCCCCACCCACATGCACGAAGGAACCCCTTCACCTTGAAAGGCTCAGCCTAAAGGTTTAAAGGGGTAACCGAGGTCAATATTGGTTAAAGAGTGTGTGAGAGAGAGACATGCAGGCCAGAGGACGACATCAGGCACCCTGCTTTTTCTCTGAGACTGTACTCCCTTGAGACTGAACCAGGCTGACGGCCTGCAGCGCTAGTCACAGGCGGGAGCAGCCGCTCCCAGCTTTTACATGGGTTCTGGGGCTTCGAAACCCGGTCCTGATGTCTGCGCAGCAGCCCTCCTACCCACAGGGTCCATCTCCCTAGCCCACCACTGATTGTGACTGCAGATGGTGTCCACGGTGTCCACATGGCTGTTCTCTCAGCTGGATGCTCTTTCCCTCCATGGCATTTACTGCCTGGAGCCTCAGGATGTCCCACCAGGGACCCCACAGACTAACTTGGCTCCCTCCTCTCCAGCTTCCCCCAGGTAGACCTCATCTCAGTGGGCGACTCCCGACCTAGGAGCCCCCCTACCGTGCGGAAGAGGCCAGCCAGCCTTCCCGCTTCTCTGTCAGCGCCGCCTCAGCTTCCGAAGCAGGAGGCCCACAAAGGAGGCACCCCAGATGACACACCTTCCAGGCCGTGAGAGGCTCTTCCTCCCCTAGGACTGTGTATTCGGGAAAGAAATGCTTCAGAGGTGTGAATAACCGGACCTCAAAACACCTTCCCAAGAGCAGTATGGAAACCCTCAAATAAGTTGTGGTCAGGCTCCCTGCTGCATTGAAGCCTCATTCTTCCCAGGGGCAAACGCTGCCCCACTTGGTGTGGACAGCAGGGTGCTGCGGTCAGCTGTAGGCTCACCCTTCTGAGATTGTGGCTTGGTTGCCTTGGACCCTGTGTGGTGATTTTGGTGTCTGTTGTAAATATGTGTGTGTGTGTAGTGTGTGGTTTGTGTGCCTGTGTGTGTGGTGTAGGGTGTGTGTGTGGTGTTGTGTGAGGTGTGTGTATGGTATGTGTGTGTGGTGTGGTTTGTGTGGTGTGTGTGGAGGCCAGAAGTCAGGTACCTTGGCTTGGCCTAGGGCTCCCCACTGCAGTGTTTAGGACTGAGCCCCTTACCTCCCTAGACTACCCATCACCCAGCCCCAAGGATACCCATCTCTGCCCCACTGGTTGGATCAGTGACACACATCTCCAGGCCCAGTTTTTAACAGGGTTGCCAGGGATTCGAACTCAAGACCCTCATAGTACTACTGCAGAGGGCAGTGCTACCCTGTTCTTCCTCACTTTCTTGGGTCAGAAATCACTGGAAACACCACTGCTGGGTGTAATGGCACATGCCTGTCGTCCCAATAAGAGGTGCAGGACAGAGGGTCAGGAGTTCAAGGTTACCCTCCGCAGCTTGAAGATTTGGGTCCAGCCTGGGCTACATGCATCCCTATCCTGAAGGAAGGAAAAAAAATAAAGAGCACAAGGCAGTTTGCGGACTTGATAGGAGGCATAGCTAATCCTGTTAGCTCTGTTATCTTCTTGCTCATGTTATCTTTATGAGGTTGTCAAACTCCAGGGGGCAAAGTGGACAAAGAAACACTAGCCTGGCCAGAGTCTGTCACTGGACTCTAAGCCTCTGGGATGCCCTGGCATCTGCTTTGTGTGGACTCAAGGCCGCAGGCGGTCTCTAGTGCCCTCTGCAGGTGTCCGTGGTTTGTACCCCAGAGGCTGACTCCAGCTTATTTCCTGTATTTAAATATTTTAAATTTTACCTTGTAGATGCCTAGCCTTCTAGAGAGTTTTTGAGACTATGTTTTCTGGCCTCCCGTAAGTTGGTATGTCTCTCAGTTTTCAGACTGTCACAAATGTCTACAGGGTCCCTTGATGATCTCAGGAATATGAGGGAGCGGAGTACAGCCCCGGAGGTCACAGTTAGAGACCCGCCCAATTGGGCGGTGGCACACACCTTTAATCCCAGCACTGGGGGCAGAGGCAGGGGGTCTCTCTGAGTTTCAGGCCAGCCTGGTCTACAGAGCAAGTTCCAGGACAATCAGAGCTATACAGAGAAACCTTGTCTTGAAAAACAAAAAATAAAAAAGGAAAGAAAGAAAGGAAAGAGAGAGAGAGAGAGAGAGAGAGAGAGAGAGAGAGAGAGAGAGAGAG